TAACATAAGGAAATTTGAATTATGAGATATTCCAAGAATTCTATGATTGATACGAAAACTTTAGAAGCTTCAGGGAATTATAAATATATATCCGAAAATTTACCGCAACATTTGATCAATTTAGAGTAATTAAGGTAAGCATACACATTAGACCGATGCAAAATTTGAAATTTTGGCTCCACAGTGCTCAAATGGTTTCAAATCATGTCCTGATTACCCTCCCAAAATTAAAACTCATTTGGTAAGAAACTGACTTGGCACAAACTATTCGAAGTTTATATGAAAATTACTATGGGAAAACCATGGAAATGTTCATTGTCTTCTACCCATTTTCCATATTGCTATAATTATTCTTACGGGAAATTTTCTAAGCTTCAACTTGGCGGAATATCGTTTTTCAGCCAAATGCAAATTATATTCTTATTAATTGTTTAAGGGATTGATAATCTTATGGCATGATCAAGTAGCTGTTTTGTGGGCAACACTGTATTCTGCAGTGTGACATAGTAGCCATGATATTTGTGCTCTATTCTTCGCACCAGAAACACCAATGTTGCCTGCTGAACAGTTGAATGAGCATAATCATAAGACATCAGTGACTTGAATCATTAATAACTTTTGTTCCTTACATTTGATTGAAAAGTGGTTTTCAAAAAAGTTGTAGCTGGGAAAATTTGCTACAATCACTGCTATCATTTTTAAAAGCAAAGCGATGTGGTGAATTGTTAGATAGACATGAACAAAAGACTAAGTTTTCCCATAGTAATTCTCATATAAACTTGAAATGGTTTGTGCCAAGTCAGTTTCTTACTAAAATAGTTCAATTTTTTGGAGGCTAAGCAGGACCCAATTTGGAACCGTTTAAGCACTGTGGAGCGAAAATTTCAAATTAATACACATCTTCTGGGATGTCCAGGCTTTTCAGGAAAAATTGGTGATTTAAGGCAATGTTCCGTGAGCGTTTATAAACTTTATAAAACTTGTGTTTAAAAAAAAATACGAAGATATTCAGTGCAGTCTAGAGAATTTTAAGGAAATTGAGAAATATTTTGGGCATTTTTAAAACCAGCAGGAAACTCTAGACTATTGAAGAAGTTATGAATTAGTTTCGATAATTTTCAGGCCTTCAGACAAACCTTGAGAACTTCATTGAAAATTATAGAACTACATTAATTATTTCGCTGCGGGAGCTTAAAGAAGTTCCTGAAATTTCAGAATAACTTCGAAAACTTCACAGAAGTACAGAGATCTTCAGAAACATTTCGAAGAACTTCATTAAAGTCTATGGAGGAAAGTTCAGTTCCATCAGTTTCATTAAATTAGCGGGAAATTTCAAGAAGTTCCCAGATATTCAGAGAATTTTAGAGATGTTAAGAAAATGATTGAGGTTTTCACATAAGTCCAGAAGTTCATGCAAGTTTAAACATTTTTAGAACAGTTCAATAAAATTCATGGTAGTACAACAAGCTTCATGAGAACTGCAAACACTTATGAGAAATTCCGAAAACTTTAAGAAAAATATTGATCTAGCTAATAAAGCTCTTAACAAAAAAAACTTCAAGAAAGAACAGATATCCTCAGAGCAGAGATATTCCAGAGCAGGTAAATTAATAAAAATTATAAAAAAGTTTCGAGAAATTCAGTTGTTAAAACTTTAGAGAAGATTCATGATCGTTGGGAAAATTATGGGAACTTTAGGAAGTCCGAAAAAGTTTAGAGAAGTATAGCGAGCATCAGGCTAGTTTCTCCAACTATAAAAGAACTTCAAGGCAATTTAATTAACTTCAGGAATATTTTGGGGACTTTAAAGTAGTTCTGAAGACCTCAGAATATACCATTCCATATTAAACGGAGATTTCTCGTCAAAATTCGCTTGGAGTCTACTATCTTAGGCTTAGGCTTCACATGAAGTCTAAAATTCCTCAGAACTACCATGAAAGCATATTGCAGTTGATGTTTTTCTCATAGATTATTTTCCCAGAACTCCCGTGGAATGAGGTCCTTAGATATTATAATAAAATTCCATGAGCCTTAAAACTGTGCAAAGAATTTGACTCCAGATTCTTGAAAATTTCTTGAGGTATCATAACTTTTTAGTTCAGAATTTATAAAATTTGTGGGAAATCATTTATTAAATCATTTAAAGCCTCTGAATTTAAAAAAAGTAGGGGAATTTACGTATTCTCGGCAACCTAAGCAGCGACCTTCTTTCTATAGCCTTTTTCTCTATGGAACGCACACATATGCAGTATTGGTTTGTTTACAATCTTTTGCTGCCAGCTGCTCTAACAATTTCAGTCAAAAGAATTGTCAAAAACTGTTTTGAAACGCTTTTACAAAGCTTCAATCTTCTCTAGTGAGAACCAGTTTTTCTTCGGCAACCGTTCCATTTGAACTGCATGTAAATCTGCTGTTCTATTATCGGCAACTCGAAATCAGCTATAATTTGTAGAGCGTGTGTTCCATTTCAAGAAAACCCTGCTAGATTGCTTTTTCTCAGTGGTAAAAATATAGTCAAATTGAAGCTGAAAGCATAAAGAATCGTTTGCATGCATTCAGCGAAGTGTTTTCGTAAGAAAATCCAGTGAAAATAGTGTTTCAATTTGGGTTGCCGAAAATAGTCTGTCATGCCGAAGCCGTCATTTCCCCTATTTGTTGCTGAAAATTAATCCATTGTGGATCTATAAAATTCAATGTGTAAATGAAAACAACTAGGAATATAAAATGTTTTTATTTTAAAATGCATTCCTAGTAAGAAAATTATTAAATTTCCTGAATAATGATAAGATTCCATGAGACTTCCAGGTATTTTCAGGAAAAATAAAATTCCCTTAGAATTCCCGGTTTCTCAGGGTTTTCCAGGTAGTAGAAGCTTGGAGGTTTAGTCATAAACTTTCTATTGAATCTTTCGCTTTAAAGGTTCCTATCGTACATATTTAAGTGTTTATGTGAATCCAATTGAATAAGTCTAAAATATCAAACATTCATTTTGTATGCCATCAGAACGACTAATTTTCTACCCTTAGGTCACTTTTTAGTCACTTTTTTTACAACTATAAGTCACTATGGTCACTAAAATCACTATTTTTGACAGCATTGATCGCTACCAGCCCTATATCTTGAGACGAAGCTTCTTGAAGATAGAGAAGCAGATTCATGCCAATAAAATAATATCCGATCTGAAACTCCTTGCATGCAAATGTTCGACACCGGACACAATCAACGAACATAAAAAATGAATCATGAAATGATTGGTCCAGAGATAAATTAAAAATAATTCCTGCATTTTGTGCTAATCAGGTACAGAAGATTAGTCAGGACATCTTAGAATACCTTGGTTAGTCTGTAAACCATAAAGGTCTGAATCCATCACGCCAAAGTCAAAGTACTTAATTATCTTTAAAATAAAATGTATGGGAAACGGTCAGAAACTGTTCAACTGCTTGTCCAAAATTTAAAAATCGCTAAAATTTTCGAAATTTAGTCAAGCAAAATAATAGTTTTGTTTCGTTTCCCATACATTTCCCCATACAAATTTTAAAGTTCTCCCGCAAATCCAGATCGTAACCAAATTCTTTCAAATTTGGCACAGTTCTTGGGGATCCCAATACGAATGCAAAGAGCTGAGGGAAGCCAGGGGTTGTGATCCGCTATATTAAGTTGACGCACCCTAGTGTCTATGCGATCTATTACTTTCTTAATTCAATACAATGTCCAAATACTGCCTCCCTTAATTTCTATGTTTACTATCAAGGGGTCGTTGCACATTACGGTATGTTTACTCCGCGATCCTTTGACAATTAATTGCTTAAAACCTCCGCATAGCATTCTACTACATATGTAGGGGAATTTACGTATTCTCGTCAATCTAAGCAGCTTCCGCACTTCTATTAGCATTTTCTCAGTGTCACGACCACATATGACGTGTCTGTTTGTTTACATTCATCTGCTGCTAGCTATTCTATCCATTCCAATCAACAAAACTGTCCAAAACGGTTTGAAAACGTTTTTAACGCGCTCCAAACTTCTCAGGTGAGTGTGACTATTGTCGGCAGCCTCTTTTACTTCGGCAACCTTTCCGTTTAAACTGCGTGTTAACCAGCTGTTCTATTATCGGCAACTCGAAATCAGCCGTATTTTGATGTGCTTATGTTTCTTTTGAAGAAACACCTAGCATAACAGGTTTGCTCAGTCGTAAAAATGTATTAGGATTGAAGCTGAAAGACTAAGGAATCGTTTAAATACATTCAACGAAGTATTTTAGTGAGAAAATACATCGAAATTAACGTTTAAATTGTGGTTGCCGAAAACAGTCGATGGCTGCCGAAGCCATAATTTACCCAACTTCGAGAATATCCTTTTTAAACTCATTCAGTGAATTGAAGAATGATTTCATCTTCAGTCCCGGCTCCAGCTCCGGTCCCAGCTTTGTTGGTGGTGGAGAGCACGCGTGCTCCCCCGATAGAAATATATGATGAAATGAAACCACCCAGCTCTTTGTATTACCACCACCCGCGGCCGATTCTGCTAACAATTTGATCTTTACTTCGTTTTTATTGGCCACTTTCAAGCCACCACCAGAGCAAGTAGTTAGGTAGTATGCGTCGACTTTCTTCCTCTGAGCAACAATTAACCTTGAGGAGCAGTGAGTCGAGAAAGATATTTTTGGAACCAATAATGGGAACGTATATTTCGGCTGGCCGCTGGCTGCCTCCGGGACACGGCCAATATATAATTGAGTGAGCAGGGCGCAAAAGAGGGTGGAAAAATGATTGGCAATCGACCGCGCTTTGGAAGCCGCCGATATTGTGCGCGCTTCTCGTTGGTTGCGGTTATTTTTAGACTTTTGTAGAATGTTTAAACTTTACAGACTTCGGTTGGTGGAGGTCTACGATTGCTGGCGCGATCACAAGTGGCTTCCGCTTATCCGTCATCCAATAATGGAACGCGTTGATTTATGTTGCTAAAGTCGGTGTATTTTTTTTTATTCTCTGTTACAGGCATGCATAGATGACAATCTGGATATGGTGGAATTCCTGGTTCAAAACGGAGCCGACGTCAACAGAAAAGACAACGAAGGATGGACACCCCTGCATGCCACATCTTCCTGCGGGTTTGTATACGCTTGAGTTTTCACAATTTACGAGTATCGATTTTGATGGTCTTGTCTTTTCGGCAGGTTCCTCAGTATAGCCCGCTACCTAATAGAAAGCGGCGCCGATCTGGCGTCGATCAACAGTGACGGCGAGTTGGCGCTGGACCTGGCCTGCTCGGACGCGATGGAGGATCTCATCCAGCGACACATCGATGAACAGGGCATAGACTGTGAGGATGCTCGGCAGGCCGAGGAAAAGATTATGCTAAGCGACGCCAAGCGATGGCTCCGCACCGACAGTACCGACTGTGATAAACCACACCCGAAAACGGGTGCCACAGCGCTGCACGTGGCAGCTGCCAAAGGATACACAAAAGTGCTTAGTTTACTGTTAGACGGACGGGGGGACTTTGACAAGCAAGACGTGGACGGATGGACGGCGCTGCATGCGGCTGCCTACTGGGGCCAAAAAGAAGCCGTACAGATACTGCTGAATGCAAACGTCGATATCGACATCCAGAACTATAGCGGCCAGTACGCGATCGACATTGCACAGAAGGATATTGTCCCATTGCTGGATGAGGCACGGAAGAACTTCAAACGGCCCAAACGGCGACCGGCTAGTCAGATTAGGTTGGGACAGTTCACTTTCCCACATTCCCTCTGAACAGAAAATCCACTAAAACCATTCTTTCGATTTCGCAGAATTACGGATACCATTGAGAATAGCATCGAGACACCTACGAAGGTCATCCGGGTGGAGGTGAAACCGATCGACAGCAAAGAGAAAGAAGGTGAGTCAGGTATTTGTTTATGAATAGCTTTTTTGTTTTTCTTATTTTTCGTCCCGTAAACACGTCGTTCTGTCGTGAATGTTATTCTCTAATCGACCCATTCTGCCAACGTTTGAGTAAATTTAGAACTGGCTATTGGAAGCGATTCGGAGGAGGAGCAGGAAGAAGAAGCCCTAGAGGAAGACGAGAACGGGATTGAGGACGAAGGCAGTGGGAGTGATCGAGATGAGAGCATTGAACAGGAAGAAGCAGAGGAGGAGGAGGAAGAAGAAGCGGAGGAATCCGAAGAAGATCAGGAGGAACCGGAAGCCGAGGAAGAGGCTACCGTAGAACCTGAACAGGAAGAGGCAGAGGAGGAGGAGGAATCGGAAGTGGAAGCGGAATCGTCACCGTATTCTTCCTCCGCCGACAGTTCGTCGTCGACCGAGAGCAGTATGACCGAATCTGACGCAGGTATTGCACGGAGCCCAGCAGGACACTGTTATCCGCGTTTGTTCGTGCTGCTGCAGTATTACTATTTACGCGCCCGCCGATCGCTAATCACCCCCCCCTCGCAAGCGAAGCTGTGTGTTGTTGGTTGATACGTATTTACTCAAACGTAGATCTTTGACTTTCACAGGAACGATTGGAAATATCAACCATATGTTGCAAATTTCGGTTTGTTCAATGTTTATTTAGCCGCGTGGCCTCATGGTATAGCCTAAAATTGTAGGTACCTGTGCATCAACTGTTTGAACTGAGATAAGAATCTATCATTGTTAATCCTGTGGGATCGGTTCTCGACGATGCAGATGATTCCTCTAATGGGCATTTTTACAATTTGACAGAAATGCAATTGTCGGAAAAAGGTCAGGAAATTCCATACAAAGTTTGGAAATGAATTTCAGTGGAATGTCCAGAAGAATTAGGGATCATTGCCGGAAAATTTTAGGTGAATCACGAATTAATTTAAAAAGGAGACAAATGTATGTAAAGCTCTAAGTTATCTAGCGATTATCTTCGCCTACGCGTAATAAACGCATGATAGAAATAGACAATCCCGTCATCTACCGCTCAACGATAAAAGCTTTGGATAAAGTTGATAGGGGAAATGGATGTAATGTTTGCCTAAATGCCCCTAATTTGGGCCCATACATAAATTCTAAAATCGACTAAATTTTCAATAGCGACCAAAACTATCCAAGTACCGTTCCAATGACGCGTTCATCTAGATAAAATTGATAGGGTTAACTACCCCATTTCCGGCCTATTAAGCACAACCCGCACTGAGTCTTTCTTTATCTAGCAAAACTTAGGACCAAACGGAATGTTATTATTACTGATGGCTTCCAAATTTATTTACCTCTCTGTACGTATCGTAAAATTTAATAAAGAGAAACCAATCGTTGAGATATTGTCAAAAGTCGAACACTGCTTCTTGACACCAAACTCGGCCTACGGATTCTAAACTCGGCCTAACGCATTGAAACGCCAATGAATTCACTTCGGCATATCGGATGAAGATGAACATTGATTCGGTCGGAGCGCTTCTTTTATTTTTGTGAATTATGGGTGCAAACCTTCATATCACGCGTTCTCATTGACTTCGTTCGGTAGCTTATTAACTAAAGTATCGTACCAAACCCATAATTGACTTGTTAACTCTGAAATCATGGATTTATTTGATAATTTCTGCTCGATAAGCCCAAAATGGGCGATTAGGCCGAAGTAGTTCTGTACCTTAAATATCAGATTTTTAGCGATGGACCCAAACTTAGATCCATAAGCCAACATTAGGGCCATTTCCCTTAGCGAAGATTAGTTTAAGTGCAATGCTACTATGTTTGTTCCTTCGCTGAAAACGAATCTTACTCAGGGATTATGTCAATTTTACTCATTCGTATGTAGAAGCTTATAAAACCGTAGGGTACTCATGGGTTGAGTGACCTCCCTAATAAAATGTCTATGGTTATTTTGCTTAACGACGCGTTCGGGGTATCATGCAAACCATTTGTGAAATAGTACTGTCATTTGGGATATCGTTCGTTTATGGTATTTTTTTATTAGGGCTACGTTTGTGGAACCACTTCACTTCATACCAACAACTACGGGAGCAATACGCACTTCCCAACAGCATTAGCGACATACTGGGCGACGAACCTTCCACTTTAGCGACAGTTATTTATTTCCTTAAGGACGCTGGACATTTTGGTCCTTTTAACTTTCTTTTGGCTGACGGGACATCTCTGCCGGACGGGGGATTAACCCTCCTACGGTGGAGCTTCGATCTCTTTCAAAACCCTACATAACTTTGATGTACCAGATTGTTTTTTTTTCTCATTGCATGTATTGTTAGTCTTTTTAATGGAATCTGTTTTAATTGCTTCTATTTAAGTACATGTGAATTGTAAGCCAACTCCGTAACAAAATTTGCAGGCAGATCCCCCCTCTGGGGCCTCCTATTTTATAGAGATGAACTAGTCAACGGCTTAAAATCTCTCTAATAAAGAAAAAAAAATATTAGGGCTACGCTTTTAGAAATTTCTTTGTACGAATGAGTAAAAGTGACTCACTCTTTGAGTTAGTTTTGTTTTCAGTGTTGGATTTAGACAGATTTATACCTTCCGCAGCGCATTATCGGATTACTTTGACAGCTTCTACACATCAAAAAATTCTGAATTTTACTGGCGATGTAAACATCCATGCATGCAAACATTTATACATGTAAACTTCCTTTTCACGTAAACTAGCAGTTTGCAAGAAATGTTGCAAACAAAAGTGGACAGTTGCATACAATATATGGAATATTGCATGACATGTCTCATAAATTTACACGATCTATAATCTAAACTTGTATGATATATGACGCTCCATTTATGTGCATCATAGTAACGGAAATTTACACTACTTTTTTTTAGCTGTGTATACAATCAATTTATTTTGTATGCAATGAATTTCTGTTTGTCTGTGGCATAATGCATGCAAGGAATTTAAAAAAAAAATGTCAGAATAACTCAGTGATAACACTGAAGTCGGTAGTGTTTTACGCCCTTCGACCACTTGCAATGAATGTTATAGAGTTTGCCACGCTGAATCCAAATATGTTCTCAAATTGTATGTACCTAACATGTACGCACAGTTTTTGAGAAAAACTGTTTCAGTTTTTTATGACCAGATTCACCTTACGGCATCATGTTTTTTACTTCTGAATGAAAATCATAAATTTTGAGCCGTCGGGGACGGTACCAGTACATGAAGTTTTGGAAGTTTTTTTTTTTTTTTTTAATTCTTTATTAAAGAGATTTTTAGCCTTAGGCTAGTTCATCTCTACAGTTTTGGAAGTGTTCATTTGTGCCGTATCGCAACGCCAGGTATCCTAAATGGCCAAATTGGAAAAATCCTTGCAAAGTGCCTTTATCTTTCTTTTGAGGCCAATAGATCAAGAATCGGTTCAAAAATGGATTTTTTGGAGCGAGTCGCAGTCTGGGTCTTTTTAGACCCTAATGCACCATGTGTCACTTTTTTTGTAGCGCTACTAGAGGTCACTGAAAGCTAGGAAAAGTGAGGAAACTGCAGGTCTCTATCATATTTCGTTACAATGTTACAGTTTTTTAAAGTGACTTCGGGTCACAAAAGACCCTAATTCACTAGGAAGGTTAAATTCACAAAAATATATCATTTGCCTGTTCTTCCAAGTTAGATTTCTACTCCACCCTTTGACAGTTTGGCTAGAATTTTAAAAAATGGACCTGCTGGATCGATGATTTTTTTAGTACGCACAATTGTTGAGACAACCGGGTTTAAATTCACAAAAGTACGTATTTTCATGGAAATATGTTTTGCCTGTTCAGGTTGGATTTCTGCTTCACGTTGACAGTGAGTTTCGTATCGATTCAGCAATCCAGAAGCAAGCGGAGCAGAAATCCAACTTGGCGGAGCAGGATGGATTCAGCTAGGTTATTTAAAAAAATCTAAGCTCTTTTAAAGGGACCTCCCTTAGCTCAGTTGGCAAAGGTGCAGCTACAAAGCAAGACAATCCTGGAGGTGGGTTCGATTCCCGGTCAGACTCGACTCGACTGCCCTGGGTACTTGCCACACAATTATACTAATGCAAAAATGGTACAGGCATCAAAAGCTCTCAATTAACAACTGTGGAAGTTCATCTAGAACCGAAGACAACATATCAAGAAGACTGGCAACTCTTCCATTTTCTCATACGACCGCTATGAGACCAACACAATTGCGTCACCTGCCGAATTTGATAGCAAAGATTACAACCTCAAAAGAAATGTTTGTGTATTTGCTCATTTTTCTATGCAGTACTTCCACCTTCGCTCGAGCTCCTGTATCTGTCGCTTGGATTCTGGCAGAGTTGCCAGTCTTCTTGATTTGATGTCTTCGCTAGAACACTAAGTTTAGAGCATATATAAATATAAATATGCGATAAGCAATAAGCTCGAAATGCGAAGAAGAAAAACATTTAAAGTCCGGAGCAAAAATTCAAGTTGGTAGCGCAGGCAAAACGAATTACCATATGAATACGTATTTTTTGGGAGTTTGAGCCCGACTGAGCGTGTTACAAACAATCTGAGTACATATTTGGATTCATCGTGAGATGAAAAAAAAAATCTAGTTTACCGACTTGTGAATTCCGCAACAGTAACAGAATTTTAAGACCGAAGAATTTGGAGGAAGTCCCTAGGAAAATGCCCGGTAAACTTCGCCTGCAATTCTTTCAAAAAGATTTATTCTTATATAGTGATCCTGCTGCAATATGGACCGTAGGGTACCCAGGATTTTAACACTTTTTTTTTACAATCCTCTACGTCACTGAGCCACTTGTTCCCTATGCCACCCTGAGGCTCTGATCCGAATTTGAGCCAAACTGGTCAACATTTGAAGCGGGTTGAAATTTGTATGGGAAAAATTATCAAAATGTGAGCAGAAGTACCATGGCTTCTAAGTTTCGTCACTAAGTGCCTAAAAACTTTGTCGAAGACCGCAAGACGATTCAAGTTGTCCCAAAAAAATTATTAGCATGTTATTGAAGTGGTGTCTGTTTGATGATAGCAAAGGGCCTAAAACAGTATTGCATAAACCCATTATATATTATAACTATTTATGTAGCATGATAAGAAAATGGAATTGTAACTGTTGGATGTTTGATAAGGTAACAATAGAGGTTATTTGTTGTGGCACCCTAATGGACAGTGATATTTCACTGTCTGGCCACCCCCTTCTGTGGTTGCAAACGAAAAAGAATTTCTCTATAGTGAAGGTTCCAAGGCTAGTCTTGGAATCCCATCAAACAATTTGAGCTGAATAAAAGCCGAATAAATCACTTTTAGTTGAAGAATCATACTTTTGCCTGAAACAGCTCTTATTTAGCATTCAATCTTTGTTGGGATGCTCTTTAACGGGATACAGTGGGACGAGCTCGGCGTAGTGGTTAGCATCCATGCCTCTCACGCTAATTAAAGGTTACAAGTTAAAATCTCATCCTCGGAGGCCTAAAATGTGTTAACGTGAATATCATAAAAAACGGGTCACAGTTGATGTACAGGTAAATCGTGAGGTTACTCTTAATTATTATCTCTATCTATATGCATGTTATCTACATTCTACAGAAAAAAAGTCTTTTCGAAGCTAGCCAATCGGCGCATTTTCTAATTAATATCGTTATTGAAATTTATTGTTCATCGAGTGTTTCGTTGTTTATTGCTCGCACTACACATCAGCCATTTAGCAATTAGTCAATTTTCGCCAAACAAGATCCACACCCATCGATCGAATCCCAAGGGATTCTCCCTCAGGAGCGTCGCGACTATTCAATCATCTCCCATCCTCCATCGCCTGCCGTGTAGCGCGTGACATCTAGGCATGGAAGCACTCAACTAACCGACGAAGCAACGACCAACGGATGTCAGAGTAGAAGCGGTCACACAGTGCCAGTGCCATCATCAAAGCTTGATTTGAATTTGAATTTTCACCGCCGTCGCGTCCTAACAGCCACACATCGCTGAGCAAGGAATGATTTTCCGGTTTTGTTTGCAGTTTTTCGAGCTTGTGTTCTCTTTCTCTCTATCTCGCGGGGCATCCTTATTTTTGGCGATTGGTGACATCGTTCGATCGAAATCTGATTCAGTTTGTTTTATCCACTTTTTTTCTAAATTTGAAATGTCCAAACAGATGAATTTTCCAAGCCCGTTCCGATTATCTCCCGCCCGAGTCCGGTTCCAGTGGTGGAGCAAATCATCGTTCCGAAACCGCGCATTGAAGGATTGCACCGGCCGGCACCGGCAGCACCCCCACTACCACCACCACCGGCACCATCGCAACAGTTGGCTCCACCGCCGGTACCGTGGCGTCGTCCACGTGCCATGTCGACCCCGATTCCAACCGACGAGCACGTCCAACAGCAGCAAGAATACCTGCAGAGGCTTCGCAACGGTCATGCCGCCGCCGTTAATCGTTCGTCGCCGTATCGCAATCGTAATAGCCGTTCACGTTTTAGTTGATTCTTCATTCTTTAGTTTCATGTGTAGATCGTCATCTTCAGCATATCCTGCTCATTATGTTGTGCAACATACTTATACATTTCTCGTTCGAAAGTCAGACAAATCCGCATTACCGTCGTTATTTTTTTAGCGCAGCCATTTGAAACAAACAACACCCCACACAGTATCTGTATATTATCATATTGAGCGATTGTTGTCATTTTTTGTTTCTTGTTTTAATACGCCGAGTTCTCGTTCATCAAAGCGCGCCCCACAGCGAAGAAAATTCCACTCAAAATGGGCTAATCCGTTTATCTGTTCCGTTGCAGAAGTTCCTGAGAAAGAAAATCAACCAACCGAGCCCGATGTGATACTGCGGCGGACACAGAGCTTCGAGAGCGATGAAAAGTGAGTGCTTTTTTTGCCTATGTTTATTCGATTGTTTTCAATTCTTGATATTTGAGTGTTGCTTTCATTTGACCGTCTATTGAATTTATCGGTGTGATTTTTAATTTGTAAGTGCGAAGGGTGGTTGTGGCAGTTTTTCACGAAATAAAAAAAAAGTTTACTGTATTCGGAATCGGGAAGGTATTTTACATTGCAAATTTGTTGTGCAATCAACGCAAATAAAATTTCTCAGATTTTAATATAGGGAACGAACAAATCTAGGGACAGTAAAGTGTAAAGGTCCAAGAAGACCTCCAGAGCAAACCCGGGGACTTCCAGAATAAATCTAAATGGTTTTGCAAGCCCTGGGGACATTCAGAGCAAGTCTAGCTGCACGGTATGCCCCTAAGAACATGCTCGTGGACTTCTACAAGGTTTATTGGGCTAAACTTACTTCAAGGCAAATTTGAAAACAGTCCAGAGAACGTGCATGGTAAATCCAAAAAACCTTTAGGATAAATTGAGAGGTTCTAAAGAGAATGCCCATATGGCTCTCTAGGTTAACCCAGTGAATCTCCAGGAGAAATTCAAACGGTTTACAGGGCAAAACCAGAAAATTTATAATTGTTATAGAGCATTTCCGTGTCAAGGTACCAAATTATGCCCCCAAGGGCATAACCAACCAGTGCGCAAAACAGTCAGGTTCATTGAGTCATTTTGATATGCATATGAACTGCCATCTGCCTCATCATTCACTGCCTCGTGAGAGTCTGAATGATTGAGAGGTAAACGAGTCACTGACAGCCGAGCACCCAGTCAGTAGCTCAGTCAACACGTTTATTTTGCCGTGATGGTACCCAATATTTGTTTTGAATGACTGAGCGTACATTTCCTATGGAAAAATGACTCAATTACATGCTGTGTTAGCGAAGGCAAGCGATGTGCGTCGCCTGCTCGTGAATGACTGAATGTTTTTGTTGGCTCTTTCATTGCCTCGTCCTTTACCGTTTGGTACAAACGGTCTGCACAGAGAAATGGATTGAATAGTGCAGTGCTTTCACACTCAGCCTAGACAGTCGCTCTGTAATCAACATCAACAAACATTTTATCAAATTATTAAAATCCATTCCAAACCCAAAGACGAAGGGACTAAATCAATTGAAATGTAACAACAAACGTAACACGTTAATTAATGGAAATAAAAGTTATTTTACCACCAAGACAGTTAAAAATTAAGGTCAAAAGGATCGTTAAGTTGAATATCTACAAAATTAGGGTGTGCGTTTTAGGAATATCAGAATTAGAAAAGTGCTGAAATTCTGATCTTTTGATAATCATTCAGAATTGTGGACTTCCTAAACTGCAACAATTTTCTATATGCCGGAATCAAGGCCTTCGAGGACTCTAGATCTTATGCTTAACGATCTTGCAAAGCCTGATAAACAGGTGATACGACCCTATTATCTCAGCAATGTAAAGGGGAAAACTAGGAAAAACATTTTCTACTCAGTAAGCAAAAAACGGTCGTCCCTAGCCCACTGAGCCTCTTCGATCACAACAAACCATCACGAAAGAACATCGCTCAAGGTCGGTAAAATTAAGTTATTCTAATGGAATGGCATCCCCGGTAGGACTAAACTATGTTTTCGAACTCGGATCAAGCATACGTCATATTTTATCTAGAATTTCCGTAAAATGTGTGCTAAATGACGTTTGAGCAATGTTTTGTTTGCATGGCATGCATATTAGCAGGGATAAATGAAAAAAAGTGTTAACATTAAAAACGATCAGATTAACGGGGTCCACGATACCAAGTTACCCCACACAGTTTGATCGAGGTCTATTCTAAAACACATCTTTAAAAGAAAACAGCCTAGGATTTAAGTCGTTCAATGCAGATATCGTACATAGGAAACATGTCAAGATACCTGATTTAAAAGAATTGTAAACTTTTCGTTTCGCAAATCGGAAAAATTTCTGCCGTCATTAAAAAATTTGTATGATAACTGATTTAGACAAAAAAATTAGTTTTCGGACATGAAAACAAATAAGATTACAAAACGAAAATAAACTTTTAAGATCGCGGACAAAAAACTTTAATCAAGATCTTGAAGAGAGAAACAATTTAGATCTCGGAACTAGATAAACATTCGAGATCTCGACATACGACAATTTTCAGGATCGCAGACTTTTTAAAATGTCGGACTTAAACAAATTTTAAAGATTTAGGACCAATGCGTGGCGATTCAAATATGACATCCACAAATTTTTCGTTTTTTACCAACCTTAAGCCTGCTTGTGTCAAGCCTATTACACGTAGTGCCTCTCCTCTCTCTTCAAGATTGGTCATCATATTTGAATTTCCCTAATTCGAGATCTCGGTATTAGATATAAATTTAAGACTAAAGTAACTTTTTTTTACAATACATTTTCGAGATTTCGGAAGCATAGATAAAATTTGCAATCTTGAATTTTCTTCAAAATTCGTTAAAATTATCCTCAGAATTCCATTTCCTTTAAATTCGTCTCGGAATCCCCTTGGAACACTCCTTAGCATATTCTCTAACTACTCAGAACCCTCCTTGAATTCTCTTTACGAATTTCTTTCAATGCTGACAGAACTTTCGCTTCTCAGAATTCTCTTGGAATTCGACTTACAATGCCCATGAGGGTTCCTTTAGCATTCCTCTAACAATTCATCTGGAATTTTTCCTATTAAAATATCCTCTCTAAATTCTTCTCTGAATTTCCCAAGAATTCTTCTCAGAATTTGCTTGACCCTAAAAAAAATCTTTAAATGCTGCTCAACTTTCCTCTGAAATTCTGTATACAATTATTTTAAAAATAGCTCAAAGTTCCAAAATCCTGTTTTTTTTCATTCCAACTCCAAGACCCTTTATAATATTCCTAAGCCGGGAATCTTGATTTTTTTTTTAAATCTGGAATTATGGACATTTTCTAAATTCAGGCATCTTGAATATTTGTTATAGAAGCTTTAAACTATCCAAATTTCAAATTGCTTTTGTCTGAAATATTGATAAATTTTCCAACACGTTGAATCCGTAAAAAAAACTCATAACCTCAGAATCCTGAAAATAACTGTTTGTCTGTTTTCATCAATGATTGGAGTGATGTGAGATTCTTGTACTGAGCGTGGAACTGCCAAATGACGAATCGATCTGATGAAACCTTCTTCGATTTGCACGAAACTTTGCATATTTGTTTATTACGGTCAATCGTGCTCATTTTTGCTAAAATTCGGCCATTCTGAATTTCTCAAAAAAATTCAAAATGGCACATTTGAGATTTTTCAAAAACCATAACTCGAAAACGTCACTTACAATCGAAATGACATATGAGACAAAGTTTGAGAGATGAACTAAAAAAAATCAATTTTTGATAAAATATACACGGTACAAAAAATTCAAGTATTTTTGGGTAAAAAATCAAAAGAAAAAGTGTTTAACTTAAATAACAAACAATTACCCCCCTCAAGATTTTTTTGAATATCTTCCATTAAAAGGTTCATAAAAATGCAACCTTCTGTGAAAAAATCAAATTGGTCACTTAAAAATTAACAAAAATCGTTAAACAACAACTTTTGGACTTTTAACTTTTTGTATATATATTATTTCTTTTTTGAGAAATTTTGCACAGAAACCCATTTTTAGACTTTCAAAATCGTTTTCTGTGCAAAATTTAACAAAAGAAATTTTAAACAAACATTTACCCAAAAGCTGTTGTTGAAGGATTATTGTTAATTTTTAAGTGTCGAACTTTCACCGAATGTAGCATTTGTTATAAGCTTTTTAATGAGAAATGTGGAAGGGGGTTATTTTCGAGTCGGACTCGCAGGCAGCAATTAGTGTGCTTGTGGTAGATCTGAGTTATCCACATCCCTTAGGGCCTGAGGAAAATAACCTTTGCGGCCCGTTAGAGACATCTTGGCGAGCCGAGATCTCGACTATTTGAATTTAATTTATATGTTTTTAAAACGGATAGATCTGAGAATTTAGTAGTTAGTGTCATCTTGTGTTCTCCCAAGTTGTTAGCTTTCCATCGGTGTACCCCCATGTGCGTCTTTTTCATCAGTATGTCGCTATGTTTGAGATCAAGAGCACATTGATCTCCAAACCTTGTGTTCTCAATCCCCCCCCCCCCCCCGCTTAACTAACGTTAGTTTAAAGTAATTTTGTAATCTAAACAATGGATATCGGCTCCGCAAAGCTACGGAAAATGAGCCTTGAAAAATAAACACATTATAAAAAAAGAAGGCGGTATGGATGTTTTACCCGATTTGAACTTTTCTAGGAGAAGTGATTTTATAGAAGCTCAGGAAGTTTCAGAAAACCTTAGAGTAAACTAAAAGAAGTTCAGAGCAGGTTAACGATGATAAGAAAACATACAAACTTCAATCTTAGTAATCTTCGAAGTGAAGTTCTCTGAATGTAAATTATTATTTCTAAATTTTAGAGCTTTTCAGCAAAACTTAAAGCTGCTCAGAGAACTTCGTTATAGTCTAGAAATTTTCAGAAAGTCCCATGGGAATCTCGCAGCAGTTTAAAAAAACTTCAGAGCAGCTTTTGTTTTGCTCTGTTCGGAACATAAACCTACTACGAGGGAGTAGTATAGGGAGGTTCAGAGAAGTTGAGTTAACTTAAGATAGGGCCATCGTACTCTAGAATGGTTTCCTGAATTTCAAAGAAAATCACCGAATTTCAAAGAATTTCAGCAAAATTCAGCAAGGTTGCAAATACTCATTTCAGCTAAAATAATGTTTTTTGGAACAATAAAACCAAAAGATGGTATGATGACATGTTTTACCTATAACTTACAAGAAGAGGTTACTAAGTATGCGTTTGAAACAAAAAACCTGTAAATTTTGCTTTCTATGAGTCACAATCAGCGATTTGCTGATCGCTGAGTGAGTGAGTGAGTGAGTGTGTGAAAAATCGCTGATTGTGACTCTCATGAAGTGAAATAAACAGGTTTAATATGTCATACCCATTCTTTGCAACCTCTTCTTGTATCTTACCAATTCAAAATATGATCATAACATCTAATTATTTCATAACAAAAAAAAACATTGTTTTAGCTGATATGAGTATTTGCAACCTTGAAATTCAGAGATGTCCAGAGAGCTACAGCTTAAGTAATATCTCAGAATGTCTGAGGGATCTTCAGACAAGTTAAGAAGAGCTTCAGAGTAGTTAACCCTACAAATTTCGGCGCTGCTTACAGAGCTTCAGATAAATTGTCGTCAACACGTCCACGACCCTGTCAGAACTTTCTCGAGCTAGTACGAAACTTACTGAATACCTCCTGAACAGCTCTGAAGTTCGTAGAAACTTTTTGAAATTAAGAAGGAAGCTCAGACAAGTTTAGACGTGTTTTTTTTTTTTAATTTCAAAGAAGTTTACCAAAATTCAGAGAAAATCAGAGAGTTTTATGGTAGTCAAATAAATACCCCAGAAAGTTTCAGGAATCCTCAGACAAGTTTAGAAGAAATACAAAGAAATTTAAAAAATTATAAGATAGTTTCAGAGACGCCATTTTAGTGATGATCAACAAATTTTAGGTCTAGGATATCTCAACACCCCAGAAATAAGCGTCGGAGCAGTTTAGGGAGCTTCAAATAAGCCATTTCAGAAAAGTCTCAGGAATCCTCAGACAAGCTTAGAAGAAATTCAATGAAATTTATAAGATTATCTATCTAGAAGTTTTGAATACTTATGGTCAACTACTGGAACTTCAGAGAAGTTTAACAAAGCTTAGAGACATTCCACGAGTTTCAAAGAAGATCAACGAAATTCAGAGAAGTTCTGAGAAGTTCATTGTTGTCTAGGGAATGTCAAAAAGACTCAGGAATCCTCAGAGGCGTTCATTAAACTTCGTAGAAGTTTAGCTTACTTAAGATGGGTCATCAAACTCCAGAAAAGTTTCCTGAATTTCAAAGGTCAATGAATTTTAAAGAAATTCACCAAAATTCAGATAAGCCTAGAGAGGTTTATAGTAGTATAGGAAACATCTCAGAAAGTCCCAGGGATCCTAAGATAAGTTTAAAAGAGCTTCAGGGAAGTCTACAACAATTTCCGAACATTTCGGAGATTCAGAGAAGCTTAGCAAATTTCATTAAAATTTTCTGAATCTCAATGAAGATGAATTTCAGGGGCCACATTATGCAACCAAGACAAAACTACTTTTTCGTAAAAGCGTTAATAAGAAAAACACTTCATTTGGACTTCCCCAATGAGGCCCCAGATCACTTCATTGAGGTATTGGGAAGCTGGAGCAGCTTGGAGAGCTTTAGAGAAGTTGAGCGATTTTCAAAAAAAAAGGCCTTGAATGATTATCAACAAATTTCATAGAAATCCAACGATTATCACAGAAAAGCTCAGAGAACTTCATTGAAGTGTAGGGAAGTTCAGAAAGCCTCAGATATGTTCAAAAGCTCTTCAGAGAAGTTTAGAAGAACTTCAGATCAGGTAAGGTAACTTCAAAGAAATTAATGACCTTCATAAAAAATCAGCAAAGCGTAGAGACGTTCCTTGAGCTTCAAAGAAGATCATCGAATTTCAGAGAAGCCCTTAGAACCTTAGAAACCCTCAGTAAGACTCAGGAATCCTAAGAGTAGATAGAAAAGCTTTAGACAAGCTTATAAGATCTTCGGAGCAGCTTTGGAAGCAAAGGCTTTTTTTCCAGAAAAGTTCCTGCAATTGAAATAAAGGTCAACAATTTTCAGATTACCTCATTTAAATCCAAGGAAACTCAATACCCCAGAAATTCTCAAGTATCATCAGATAAGTTTATAAGAAGATCAACAAAGTGAAATTCTCTAGGGAGGCTCAGAAAGTCTCAGGGAGTCTCAAAGAAGTCCAGAAGAACTTCAAAGAAGTTTTGAGCAACGTCAGAGTAGTTAAGGGAACTTCGTAGAAGTTTAGTTCGAGACGTTTCCTAAGTTGCAATGAAGGCTTAGAGAAGCTCAGCTAATTTTAGAGAACTTCCTTGAATTTCAAAATTGATCACCGAATTACAGAGCAATTCCTCAGAGAACTTCATTGTATTCTAGGAACCATATCAGAAAGTCTCAGGGAACCTCAGACTTGTTTAGAAAACGCTCAGAAAAACTCAGATGGATTTCAGAGAAACTTCGGGTACTTATGAAATTTCAAGATATTGGATGTAGGAAAATAATCTGATCCTGAACTTGTACAAATTGTATGGATCTCGGACTCATACAAAATTCAAGACCTTTTAAAGAGAGAGTTTGGATTATTATTCTATATATAAAAATGAAAATGCTTCTAACAGCTCAATACATTAATATAGGGGAAAGAGGGGCATAGTGAGCATCATGTGCTTTGGCAATGCGTTTCTAGCTACTCGAAGCAAATTAATTGGTAGTTGGGTTAATCTCATAAACCTTCCATTTGCATGGCGTGAAATTTAATCTGGTTTGCAATCTGCTCACTATGCTCAAAATATAGTAAGAAAATTGCCAGCAATAACGGTTGGAAATTTCCTAACTTTTTTTTCGGGGATATGGACTTGGGACTCATACAACATTCAAGATCTTGTAAAGAGAAAAGTTTAGAAGATACCGGACGCCGACAAACTTTTCAGGAATCCGGACTTTACAATATCAGTCGTGATAAAAATGAAGGGCTTTAAGGCGCCCAGAGTGTTTTCCTCCATCTCACCATTCAATTTCAAGACTCAGGATGTTTATTACGTTGGTCTAGACTATATTTTTTGGAGTCAAAGTTACCAAGAAGACAACTCTTACGAAAAACCGCTCGGACTTGGGTTCTACCACCATCATATTTTTATTTTGCTCGTTTATTCCAATATTTAATTTATGGTTAGGCCCCAGGAAAAGTAAAACCTGGCGACCAAGCGGACAAAAGATTATTTTCGATAATTGTTATTCCTTTTGCTGATTAGCTCAGTTGCCAGCTTTCTCCAGCCAGAGTGATTATTATACAATAATTAATACTCCAGTGCTTGAGAAATATTTTCGAATGCATCCAAAGTTTTTCCTTAGTGCTCAGAGTCATATTCAATCGTAATTTTACGCTTTGTCCTATATGTTGGCTACAACCACCCTTCGTCAAATCAATAGATTTACAACTTACTCTTACCTAAGATTACGATTGATACGTTAACGCCAAATATGTCTACATGTATGTTTGTATGTATGTGTGTTTTATCTCATGTGTTGCCTCCATTTCATACTACCATTTTATTAACTGATTGTGTTTTTGATCATCTCACCAATCCAACTTATTTTTTTGTAAACCAATCAAAATAATCAACTGACCAACCCGTGCACACCGTAACACCCACCTCATCAAACAAACAAACAAAAACCATCATGGAATGATTGTAATTTACTACACCATCAATTGCTATTATACTACATCACTACTACCAATGAACCCGGCCGCCGGTGGACACGTGCAACATCAACCACCAATCAGGTTCTACCAAAAGTACGTCGAACTGCGGGCACGGATACAGGCCAACTCGTGTCCAATCCTACCGAACACGAATCCAACCGCCAACGCGAAAACTGCCACCAACAACAGCAGCAACAGCTATCTCGTACAAAGGTCAGCCTCGCTCAAGGATCATCGGACGTTAAGGTAACGTAAACCATTTGCTACTTGCTCTCCCAATCTCTAATATCAATCACTCTGCTTCTAACTTTGTTAATATCGATTAACGGATCGATCACGATGAGCTTTTTGCTATCTACTGTTATTCTATTTTTTTTTTTCTTAAGAAAATCCTACTGTAAATGAGTTAGGAAAGCATACCCAACCCTGCCTCGAAACGTAACTGACTCGTGATTTCTACCCTATTTTGTTTCCTCAGGAAAGCTTCCAGCAACTTGGTACTGGGTAGCACTGGCAGTACGACCGGTTCAGCAACAACAAACGTACAAACAGCGACGACGTCGCCCCCAACTAGTCCCACCGGAACGCCAGTTACGACTCCCAGCACCGGGCAGATTCGAAGGTGAGTGTCGGAATATTTCCCTGCTGCCTACTGCCACTATGCTGTAGTAGTAGTAGTAATAGTAGTAGTAGTAGTAGGAAGGCAGTGGGTCGTATCATTTCAGATTTCATCGGAATGTTGTGAAGAGACCGCGCGGGTCATTAGGAATCATCAATAACAATGTAGGACCATTTCATTTCGAGATGTAACTCATCATTTTGGTCGGAATTAGGGATCGTTTTTTTTTCTGGAAATCAGAAGATCGCGTTATATTGCACATTAATAAAGTTGACGGAAGAAACGCAGAGTAGTACCTACTGGGCATAGAATACACTACACAAGTTAGGTTATGAGAAGGGTTTGGAAAGTAATTGAGGGCTCTTATGAATTCATGGGTTATGTACATATTCCATAGACACCGTCAGTCTTATGAATGATTATTGAACTACCCAATGTACTACGAGTAGTTCTTATATGCTTTTAACCTGTTTGATTTATCAAGTATTGATAATCCTGAGAGAAAATTGCTGAGCGCTAAGGGTTCGATTCCAGTTTTCTATTACTTTTTTTTTAAGATTCGTAAGTTAACTTATGATTTCTATAAGTAATGCTTTTGTTGAAAATTCATAAGTGGTTCTTATGTAATTCTTACGTTCATTTGCCTCATAATTTCTTGTGGGATCTTAATAAACCAGAAAGAAGAAGGTTTATCTTGGAATCAAGTTTTACTCTATTAAACTAATTAGATTTCTTAAAAATCTTAAAGTAGCGTTATAATGACGGCTTCTGCTTCACATAATGTTTACGTAATATTGAAATTATATTTACTGGAAAATACTTTTTATCTTATGTTTACAATCCGTGATTTGCACTATAATTGAAATTGTTTTCACGTAGTGTTTACATGTTTTTGAAGTAATATTTATCGGATTTAACGAATACTGCTTTCGATTTTGTCTTTAAACCTTTAGTATTTATATCTAATTAAACTTTAACACTGAACGTTTCGCTTCTCCCAAGACTGATCATGACCTACATACTTGTAAATAGATCACAAATGACGCGCATAGACTCTTTGAATTTGTTTGGACATGTTTCGTTGCAAATGTATTGTTAAGGTATTGAAATAGGTCACGTAAATCAACAGATCTGATCTCCAGAACGGTTTGATATACATAGAATCGGATTGGCAATGATGAATATAGACTTTATCAATAAGGTTAGACATGTGTCGTTACTTGGGATACTGTTCATGTCGGGGGTTGATTTAGTATTTCATCTGACCTAAACTCCAGAACGATCTGGAGAACCTAGAACAGCTTATATACATGGAAATAGATAGTTAATGATGCGCGTAGACTCTATGAATATGTTTTGTTGCTAAGGAAATAAGTCGTAGATGATTTAGTACATAATTTGATCTGACCTCCATGACGATTTGGAAAACCTAGGACATCTGATATATATGACAATGGATTATTTACGATTTGCATAGCCTCTTTGAATATGTTGCAATGTGGCCAAATGCTTAAAAATCAACGTATTGAACATATTTTACAAAAAATCTGTAGCAGGCTTAATGTTATCGATTTAATTGTAGTCTAAAAAATTACTTGTATCTAGTGCAAATATTTAAAAATGCTAAACTAGCTCAAAATGTCAAAAATGTTATAACACTTCTGAATCGCAAAATAAGTTCTATCAGAGGTTTCTTATAACTTATCTTTAATATTCCTTCAGCAACTATACAAATTGTCATTGGTTTCTTATATGACACGATGTATTTCTAGTTTTTAATAAAAACTAAAGATTTTCTTAACAAAATATAACTTAAGTTCATTCGCAGGGCTGGTAGCGTGTCACTTTTTAGTGACTTGGCACTTTTTTCAAGTCAGTCACTAAAAAGTCTTTTTTTTTAAGGCCAAGTTTCATATAAGCTCTACAACTTTGCCGAAGGAAGTATCCTATTTAGGGTAACAAGTTAGGTTTATATTTTGTTCATAGTAGGCCATGATAATTTTTTGAATAAGTCAGTAGTTTATACACAATTCAATTAAAAAGGCAAAAAAGTCCTCTTTTGACTTGCAATTATAGACAGTATAAGAGCAAGTCAAACGCGCACTTTTTTGCCTGTAGATTTGAAGAAATACTTCAAATCTCCTTATACATTATATGAGCTAGATAAATAAGTGTGATTTTGACTAGTACTGTCGCATTAATGGCCATTCGCTTATTTTCTACTTTTATTCAATTTTGCATACTGCCGTACTCTAGCGGAACTATCCACCTACTCTCTTCAGACCTTTCTCTAGCTAATAAATTATCACACTGAAGCTTCATGTTAGATAGCATTTCCAACCAACTCTGAAGATCCATTGGTTTTAAATTCTGGTTGGTAAACGATTTTAATTTCTAATTATGATAAATTTGCGGAATATTTGAATAATTTTCCCATCAAATTGATAGGAGTATTTAAATATCATTATTTAAAAATTTTAATTATTGATTTATAAAACCAATGAATTTTCAAATTCCGAAAAACCGGGGAATACACTGGAATTTTCCTATGGAAATTCAGGTCACCCTGCAAAATGAGCGGTACACACATTTTGAACCAAATCAGTGCACTTTAAAAAATCAAGCGTACCTTTTCACGTGCAATTGCTGTATCAGTATACTTCAGTATACTTTTGTATAGTATTACTTTATCGACCTTTTGTCCTTTCGACTTTTTGTACTTTGACCGTTTGTCTTGCAACCGATGTGAAGTCTATGGAATTACAGTAACAAAACAATTTTCAAAGTTTATAAAGTTTTAAATAAAGAAGTAAACATTTCCATACATTAATATTTTTTTCGGAATTCGGGGTAGTTCTACATTCCTGGTAATGTATTTAGGGGTAATGTCCTAAAGTCCTACAATTCATAATCTGGTTACTATTGCAAGGGCGTCTGGAGCATGTCTGAGTATTGCCAATGTTAGACACACAATATCATTTCTCAAGGGGTAGACAAAGCATGCCTGGGTGAAAGGGAATGAATAAATATATAAGCTTTAGTTTGCAACTTGCAGACAAATTAGTTCAAAACTTCTTCTTCTTGTTCTATGCCTTTACGCTTCTGTAGCGAGCGTTTTGCCGGCTCTCAAAACTTAGTGTTCTAGATGCACTTCCACTGTTGTTGATTGAGAGATTTCTATGCCAACACCAATGTATGAAATTGTATATTTGGCAAGCACAATGATACTCTATGCCCAGAGATATCGAGGAAATTTAAAACCCGTAAAATTTCCTCGACCTCAAGCAAACGTTAAATAGCCGTAACTGATTCCGCAAACAATAATTTAAATTGTCAAACTGTCGAAACAAGCTAACTGCGCCCACGTTAACTAACATCACCATCAGTAGGGCAAAATATGTCAACCTTGACGTTGCATACAGGGTCATAAGGTGAATCGCTGTGGAAACCTTATTTCTGATTTATGTCATCATCAGCTCGAAATTTCAAGAGCACAAATATAGTGAAACTGGAACTCTCCGTTTGCTGCAGTGCAGCAAACAGGGGGTTCCAGTTTCATGAGCTATCATATAACAGTGAGATTAGTGCTTTAGAAATCTGAAAGCGATGGGCATATCAGCCACCATGACGGCAATTTTGGGACTCTTCAAGGAATCACCTTAAGGGCTAAACATAGTTATCATTCGCCAACAGGTAAACACTGCACCTATTTTTGAGTTTCACCCAATCTTAACTTCAAACTGCTGAATATTAAGTTCTGAACCACTTACTCAACACTCAGGGTTGTTCCGGGTGCCAATGTGAACACTGAAATACTGCTTAGAATGCAGCTAAGAAAGCAGCAAAAAATGCAGAAAGAAACAAACAAAATGGAACCAGTTTCCAAACCCGAAAGATTTCTTCAATCCGATCGGGAACCGAACCCGCCATCAGGTATGTTCCGGGTGCCCATGCGATAGTGAATGCCCGTTGCCCGAATCGGTTCAGCCATCGCCAAGAAAAGTGAGTGAGTATTGCTGTGTTATTGCAAAATTCCACTATTTTGATAATATCTCCGGAACCAATTGTCCGATCGAGATGAAATTCAATACATATATATCGTCCTTATTAGGTCAATTACTTTCCGGTCAATAAGGTTCCTTGCCTTCCAAATAAATACCATGAGTTTATCGACTTCCGCTCAGGTTCCAATCACCGCTCACTGGTAAGAAAAACTGTGATTTTTCAAATTCTAATCATCTCATGTGAATGTAATCACGCAGTAATGGACGCAGTGGTCCAGAATGCAGATTTAGGTGGAATGATATGTTTTGAGCCTGAAATTGAAACTTTAGACTAAAAGTCTCTTGTACAAAGTTGTTCCTTATAGTTAGGCCTTCATTTTTATGACAATGAATTCTAGGGTGGTTCCTATTATCATTAAAATCAAAAATCTAACTTTTTTGTTTGAATAAATTAAGGTATGCATTCTTGCGCAAAGTTATAGCTGAGCTAATTTTAAGCAACTTTGTTGAAAACAGCTTTTTTGTATCTCTTAAATTGGCCGATTTAGAGCTATTTTATTGAATTGAGTTAGGGTGGCTCTAAAAAAACAGTTGTTTTGCTCTAGTTTTCTTATTTCGAATTTCTCAGCAAAGGTGTCTTCAAATAAGTTTTAGATCTTTAGAAGGCGCAAACTTTTGCTGCACAAAGCCGATCAAGAGTTATTGACGTTTTAATACTAAAAATATGCACTTTTCAAATTTTAATATCTCTGGTTGGGCCAAACAAAAATTTTTTTTATGACATTTGAAAGGGCGTATGTATGATTAATAATATGAAAAAAAAATGGAGGTATGTTATTTTTTAAACTCGTATAAAATCAATTTGAATTTATTCATTTTTTCAAATTTCAAATAAAAAAAATATTGTTCAAAAGATGGATTCCATAGGACCTCTCTAATGACAAATTTAAATAAAATGTGCTAGTACATTTGTTTCAATATTTGGACATTTAGTGTCTTAGAAGAAGTTTTTGCTCTTTAAAATTCCCTTCTTTTGGTGTTTGCAAACGTCAGGGTTGTCCTCAAATTAGGGAATTATAAAAAACTAACTTTTTTGTTGTACAAAATAAAAATATGTGTTGTTTGAAAAAGTTGTAGCTAAGTTGATTGCAAGCAACTTTGTCGAAGTTTTTTTTTCTATCTCTTAACGTTCTCATTTCAGATTAAATTTCCGGAGTTGACTTAGGGTGTTCTTGGAAAAAAATAGCACTATTTTTTTTATTTGAATTTTCTCATGTAGGAAAAATGACGGCTTCGGCATGACAGACTCTTTCGGCAACCCAAATTGAAACACTATTTTCACTGGATTTTCTTACGAAAACACTTCGCTGAATGCATGCAAACGATTCTTTATGCTTTCAGCTTCAATTTGACTATATTTTTACCACTGAGAAAAAGCAATATATCAGGGTTTTCTTGAAATGAAACACACGCATTACAAATTGTAGCTGATTTCGAGCTGCCGATAATAGAACAGCAGATTTACATGCAGTTCAAATGGAACGGTTGCCGAAGAAAAACTGGTTGCCGACAATACTCGCTCTCACTAGAGAAGATTGGAGCTTTGTAAAAGCGTTTCAAAACAGTTTTTGACAATTCTTGATAGAGCTGGAATTAGGGCGTAACAGCTTTTGTAAACAATGACTTCTCTCGATGATTTCTCGAAACTCAAGGCACGCCCACACAAACCAACACAACCAACGGGAAGTGGAAGTCTTCCCCTACTCGATGGTGACGTTGATTTGAGTGAGCGAGTCTTGGCTTTCTAGAAATCATCGAGAGAAGTCATTGTTTACAAAAGCTGTTACGCCCTAATTCCATAATTCCAGCTCTATCTAGAATTTTTTCGACTGAAATTGTTAGAGCAGCTGGCAGCAAAAGATTGTAAACAAACCAATACTGCATATGTGTGCGTTCCATAGAGAAAAAGTCTATAGAAAGAAGGTCGCTGCTTAGGTTGCCGAGAATACGTAAATTCCCCTATCTCTTATAATAAAAGAGATATATTCTAATATAGTAAAAATATGAATAAATTCAAATTGACTTTATACGAGTTTAAAAAATAATACACCTCCTAATTTGCAATATTATTGAGAATAACATACGCCCTTTCAAATGCCACAAAAAAACCTTTTTTTTTTGTTTGCCCCAACCAGAGATATTAACATTTGAAAAGTGCATATTTTTAATAAAAAAAAACGACAATAACTCTTGATTGTCGAAAGATATTGACAAGCTTTGTGCAGCAAAAATTTGCGCCTTCTAAAGATCTAAAAGTTATTTGAAGACACCTTTGCTGAGAAATTTGAAATAAGAAAACTAGAGCAAAACAACTGTTATTTTAGAGCCACCCTAACTCAATTCAAGAAAATAGCTCTAAATCGGCAAATTTAAGAGATACAAAAAAGTTGTTTTCAACCAAGTTGCTTGAAATTAGCTCAACCAAGAATGTTAAAAAAAAGTTAGATTTTTTTATTTTAATGATAATAAGAACCACCCTAGAATTCATTGTCATAAAAATGAAGGCCTAACTATAAGGAACAACTTTGTAGAAGAGACTTTTAGCCTAAAGTTTCAATTCCAGGCTCAAAACATATCATTCCACCTAAATCTGCATTCAGGACCACTGTGCATTGCTACTTGATCCACGTAGAATTTATGTGATGTACACTAAGGTGGGTTTGTATTGTTTGTATGATGGATCACAATCCCCTATTCCCCACTGCTCTTCCGATGTTTATTGAGGTCCCCAACAACGGTGTCAAATTTGAACGAATTTGGTTATGAACTGGATTTGCGAGAGAATTTTAAATTTTATATGAAAAAATGTATGGGAAGCGAAACAAATGAATTCATCTCATCCCCTAGGTAAAAATATCAAGATACTAATAACCAAAATCTTAAGTAAAGTGAAAGAGGAAAGTCTATACAACTCTTTAATAAGGAAAATTCCCAAAGGTTTGGTAGCCGTCATCATGAAGTAATGAAATTGGGTTGTTAACGAATTGCTAAAATAATCAATCAGTATCAAATATTGCTTAACCAAATCTCGTAAAAAGATTGGGAATACTATGCAGAACAACTTTGTCGAAGACTGCAAATCGATTAGACTTCTGGGAAAAAGTTATTATAAAAACAATTTAGACCAATTTCACCGTGCATACCTACAGGCTTATATATGAGCTTGTAGGTACGTGTGTAACTCTTGGTCTAAAGTGAAAGATTAGTAACTTTTTGAACAGAGATCAAATCGATTTGCAGGCTTCGACCAAGTTATTTTGATACTATATCCGAGATTTTGCGAAATTTGAACAATATTTGGATTTTTGGTAAGCAAATGAATAGGATCGTTCCGTTTCCCATACATTTTACCATACAACATAAATTCTCCCGTAAATCGAGATAATAATCAAATTCGTTCAAATTTTGCACAGTTGTTGGGGCCCGCAATACGCATTGAACGAGCAGTGGGGAACAGGGGGCTGTAAAGTTGACACACCATAATGTACACTGACCCTACAATTAGGGATCAGAGTTATTTCAATATTTGGTGATCAGTCCTGTTTAGAGAAAGAGAGAAGGATTAGTAACTTCCATTAATTGCTTATCCTTGACAGATACGCGTATTTCCTCTACAATGTACAGACTTCTTCAGTGTCTTTACGAGTATTAGTACAGGACATTGAAGAAGTATGTACATTGTCGACGAAATACGCGTATCTGTCAACGATACGCAACTAAGGTAGTGGAATAAAATGTAATTCAACATCAGCGACTCCCTCGTACGGTGCAATCCGTTTGAAATTTCATAAAATTCTAGTTAGTGCGCTCCGGGACTTTTGCGGATGAAAAATATTGATCATAGAATTTGATTGTGTTTCATTGGGCATAGTTTGGTACTACTCTGCATTGCATACGTTTCAATTAGTTTCTATGTCTTTGGAAATTATGCCGAATCTTTCATTTGGCTTATACCAAATCTAAACCGAGTCAACGTTAGATTATAATTTCCGTTTCGATTTTCGTTGAATTACCAATGCAAACTACAAGCAACTATATACTATTTCTTCTGTTATTTGCCAATGAATCCATTGTCTTCGCCATCGTCGGCGATTATATTTACCATGTAAAACTGTGTGAATGTGCGATTCATAAATTCATACTTGTCCTTCGTCGCAACCATCATCATGTGCAACAACCAACATACTTCAGCATCACACCTGTCAACAACAACAACAACATCAGTCACACGTCCAATAGTCCTTCCATACCGGTCGAAGTCACTGTCACCTCCAACAACAACAACAACAACGACAACAATAACGATACCAGCAGCAATGCGGTCAACAAAAATCATAGCCTGTTCGAACTCAATCGAAAATATATTGAACAAGCCCAAAAGACGAAGATTAATAATGAGCGCAATAAATTTCTCTCGTCACTCAACGAGAAGAGACTGCAACAACAGCATCCACAGGAAACGCAACAGCCGGAAGCGAAAGCGCCATCAGAAACAGCACAGCCAGCAGCCTCACAGTCCGGCTCCGCAGAAAAAGAACCGTCGCCGGCGGAAGCACCCGCAACAGTTAAGAGCGTAACTGCTGTCTATGCGTCCTCTGCCTCCAACAACAATCATGCTGCTTCCAACATCAACCATCACAACCACAACAACAACAACATCACCAACAGCAATGCAACATCGCAACAACCGTCACCGACAGTGACCTCAACGAATAAGCTTTCACCGGGAAATATTTTCAAAAACTTTTTCAAGTAATTATCAGTTTGTTACTTTGGTTGTGCTTTCTTCTTGATGATCTCGATGCGTTTGGGTTATCTCCTACCATCTAGACTCGTCCGTGTGAAGTTGTTGTTAATTTAACTCTGATACTGTCGATGTTTGATTTTAAATAACTGTTCACTGCGCTTGAGCAGTTTTAGGATCGGTCGTTTTGATCCTACACGTTCGTAGCCTAACACTGTTATGTTGCCGTCACAGAGCTCGGCTCACCAGCTGGGCAAAGCGAGAAGCATGTGGTTCTAATGATTTTTGTTGATTCAAACTCGTATCTACAAGAAACATCCCACCGTACTAACACTACGATTATCGCGCTAACGAAAAATTGTCCTCCATCATTCCCACCACCATTAGAATGTAAACGAGCTGAAGCTCGATCGCTTTTTACCTCCATTTAGTTAGAGACCTTCCAGGAGTGTGCGAACAAAAAAAAAACCCGAATGCTCTGAATGTAGTGTGCTGTAACTGACCTTGCCATGTTCTCTTCAACCCGGTATCTAATTCGGGCAATTCGTTCCCTCTTTTCCTATCGTTTATTCCAACAGATCCTTCGTGCCACCAACGCGCGACGAAGAGAGTGAAACTCAGCGGAAAGCGCACGCTAAGCGGGTCCGCGAGACGCGACGCTCGACCCAGGGCGTTACCCTGGACGAAATCAAGAGCGCCGAGCAGCTGGTCAAGAAGAAAAACTCCACCAACAGTGATGTAAGTAACCGACGGCGGAGGTCCTCCGTCCAAGGGCCGTTCATTATTTGAATTTTTGTATTATTTTGTTTTTTTTTTTTGGTTTGGTGAAAGGATTTTCTTTCTTGTTTTTCGATTTCCCCCTCGTCCTGAGTTTGATATTTTGTTATTTTACGTTGGAATTTTGCAATATGCCCTACTGCATACCACGATACATTTGTCTCAAGTAAGGGTAAGTATTTTGTTGGCAGACTCATTTTCCCGGCAAAAAATATCCGTCCGTTTGTGATTTACTCAAACCTCTGTTGATCAGGGGCTATTGGAATTTGTAAATATTCATACGATAAATAAGAACTAATGCAATTTTACCCATACAAGTGGCTGACGAAGTAACACCCTTGCTTGAGCTAAAAAAAAAGGGCTGAAATGCGTTGTGATGTTCGTTTTCGTTTCTTTTGAGTTTCTTCTATTATTGAAAAAAAAATAGATAAGTATAAAGCATCATTATAACACTACAGTTACTACAGCACACCTATAAGTTTAGTATTGTAATCAATGAACGCAGATGGAGAATAAATGCCAATTAAAATGCCATCCAATGAAGTTTGTGGTTTCTTGTCCCATATCAATAAAGTAAAAAAACATCCGTGTCGGCATGAAAAATCAAATCTAATTTGCCAAAATAGGATCTAGGTGCTATGTTCAAAACTTCTCAGCTTGTTTACTGGAGGAATATATGCGAAAAATCTGGATACCCTGATTTCGTGGATGAAAATATACGAAAAATCTGGATACCCTGATTCCCGATAAATCAGAGAATTTCACATGTCAGCCAGCAATCAGTGGCTCCAGTCATACTGCAGATTCTGGACAGGTTCCGTAACCGTTTCCTTTTTTTCTGGAGAGAGAAGCAAACACAGAATGTTCGGCAACAAACCAACTATCCTATCGTAGAGCCGTTATCAAAATTGCTTCAACAGCTGCAAGCAGCCGAGTAGAGAGAATGCTCGTTGAGCCTTCAACGATTGCGGCCGTTAGGGTAAGGAACACAAAACATGTGATAGACCACAGATGCCACCCTGTTGTTTTGATGCGGCCGTGATGAAACTGAAGGGAACTTGGTCCGTGCTGAATGGCTGTAAATACATGGCGAAGGTTTCCGCTGGGCCGCAGTCTGTTGTCAACGATGTTTCGCTGGGTCTGGTACATTTGGCATAAGGCCGTTTAGCATAACGGCAAAATTAAGGGATCAGGGGAATTCAGGAAAAATCAACCCCCTCCCCCTCGTCCCTTTCGTCACGTTTTTTCTATACCTAATGCATTGATTGTCGCACATTTGTATCCCCTTTCCCCCTTAGAGCGTGACGTGCTTAATGGATGCTCCCTAATTTGCAACCAAACATTACTATTCCTTTTCATTTCTGCTAGTTCTTTCGCATACAATTGTAGTTTTAGGGAAAATATTTCCTTTTCGGAAAATTCGAGCAGTCTTCCAAAGTCTTAAATACCATGGAACCATGGAAAGTACGAGCAACCATTTAAAAATAAATAATCACAGATTGTAAATTAACTATTAGTTTCACAAATATGACGAATCATAGCGATTATGCCAAACGTCCTTATCTCAAACGTAGCAGACCCTTACGATTCTTGGCTGGAACATTAATTTACTAACACTCATACAAAATTAGGCCTACCTACTAAAATTAAATAACAAAATAATTGACTTACTGAAGAATCCTGAGCACCTACAGTGGTGCAAAGGGTCAACGTGAAAGACTTCCATCCCGGGCGGTTGCTTGCTTCTGCTTTGGCTTGAGCCCTGGTCAAATTCCCATCGTCTTGCTTGATTTCTTTGTTGATGCTGCTCCGCCATGAGCCCCTGGGTCTACCTCTGCAGGGTTCCACTCCTGCGTAGTGTGTGGCCGATCTACCTCCGCTTACGTTCTTGAATTTCAGATCCAGCGGTGGGGCCACCCAGGCATGAATTAAAAACCGCGGGTAACGGTTGATGAAGATCTTCAGCTTTTGTGTGGTCTCCACTGATATGCGCCGTATGACCCTATGTGGCTGCCAAGATATTGGGAACTTTCGACATTCTCCGCTTCTTACCCTGCTACCGTTAAGACGAAAGAGTTGTTCTTGTTGACATTCCACGATTTGATATAGTTGAGTTGATGGTTGGACCCGCCGCAGAAGAGCGTTTGGCTAGGTCGTTGAGCTCTTCATATGAAACAGCCGTTGTGCTTATAGAGAGCAACATAATCTGTCAAATATTTGTCAAAGCCGTTGAGATGCTCCATCGTGATAGGTTGCTAAAGCGGCCCACGGTTCGGTACACAATTCAATGAATACCAAACACAAGGACTCTTGGAATTCGTTGATCTGCTCCAGAATGACAATAAGCTTCACACAAGACACGGAATCCTACCTGTTACCACCGGCGAGTCACGTCGGTCTTCTCCTGTATCTGATTCAGAATATCTTGGAAACTGAACTTTGAGATAATAAACAGTAACAAAAGATACCTCGTCAATTGTCGCACAAAGTCAGATCTCCTTTCTTTGGGACCTTCACTCGCGTTGTCTCAGATATTACAATTGTGCGTATCTTTGAGCATCTCTGTTGATATGTGATCGACCCTGGGAGCCTTGTTGGATTTCTTACCTTACCTTGCCAATCAGGCTAAGGCCTTGTTGTCCTCTGCTGTCCGAATAAGTCGTCTCCACTCTACTCGATCCATGGCCACACATCGCCAGCCTCGTTGTCGGCTAAGGGTCCGCAGGTCACTTTCTAATTGGTCGATCCTCCTTGCACGCTGCGCGCCTCTTATTGTTCCTGTTAGGTCGCTTTTGAGAACCATTTTCACTGGGTCGTCGTGCGGCATTCGTACGACGTGCCTAGCCCATCGTAGTCGCCCAATTTTCGCAATATGGACGATGAATGGTTCTCCCAGCAGCTGGTGCAATTCGTGGTTCATTCGCCTCCTCCACGTTCCGTCATCCATCTGCATTCCACCGTAGGTGCTACGCAACACCTTCCGTTCGAAAACACCGAAAACCTCCACGAGCATAATCCAGGTCTCGTGGCTGTAGAGGACCACCGGTCTAATCAGCGTCTTGGAGATAGTCAACTTCGTGCGTCGGCGAATTTTATTCGACCGGGCGTCCTCCTGAGCCCAAAGTAGCTACGATTCCCTGCCATAATGCGTCTTTGAATTTCTCTGCTGGTATCATTTTCGGCGGTCACCAGTGAGCCCAAATACACGAACTCGTCGACCACCTCAATTTCGTCACCTTCAATATGAACTCGGGGTAGTAGGTTAACATTGTCTTCCCTAGATCCTCATATATTTCTTCTTCGATGCGTTGATGGCAAGTCCAATCCGTCTAGCTTCAGCCTTCAGTCTGATGTATGTTTCCGCCATCGTCTCATAGTTCCGTGCCATGCTAACGATCTCATCGGCGAAGCCAAGAAGCTGGATGGACTTCATGAAGATCGTGCCGCTCGTGTCTATCCCAGCTCTTTTGATCACACCTCCTAACGCGATGTTAAATAGCAGACACGAAAGTCCATCACCTTGCCGTAACCCCCTTCGATATTCAAAGGGACTCGAGGGTGTCCCCGATACTCGAACAACGCACATCACTCGATCCATTGTCGCCTTGACCAATCGCGTCAGTTCATCCGGAAATCCGTACTCGTGCATAATCTGCCATAGCTGATCTCGATTGATTGTGTCGTATGCGGATTTGAAATCGATGAACAAATGATGTGTGGGCACGTTGTTTTCGCGGCATTTCTGCCGAATCGCGAAAATGGGGTCCGTAGTAGTGCGGGCACCCATGAATCCCGCCTGGTATTGCCCCACGAACTCTCTTCCAATAAACCTCCTTCAGCGCTACAAAGTTGAATTTGTGAATTCTCAATATGCCGGAAAGAATACGTGTGTTTTCAACAAATTGAGAGATAGGTGGTTCCATGCGCCGGTCGATAATCCATGTGCTAAGACAATTGAATAATAAATCCTTTTTGAATATATTTTGGATTAGTTGTTTCGTTTCTAATATATTTACCAAAGACTCAACCTTCCAGGATCTCAAAAACTGGCCCAATCAAACTTGATTCAAACACTTTTATTCTGAAATTAAAGAACGCTTGTCGCTTGAATCGTTTGGCATTTTCAACTTCCGAAAAATCCGTTTCTATACCTTAAGCCGGCTACACCGTACTTACATACATCTACGGTATGTATTTAGCATGGCGATAAGTATTGTGCTTGATAATTTGGCGCTGCTCCAAATTCTCGTCTGCCAGGTCATTGTATGAGATTGAGATTACATTTTCCAGAATGATTTGATCTCGCCAACAACGGTAGACTACAAGATAGTATGTAGCAAACTGTGTTCTCGCGCACCGCCCGAATGACCTTGACCTACATTTGAAGTTATTAATCCATCTCATAGTAAAGGACAAAGAAGTTCTCCATCTGCGTCATTGCCCATTGACAATACAGACTACGCACACAAAAAAAAGATCATCCTTCACTGAACCTTATTACTACTCACTGCTGCCTACATCCTGCTTACATGTACAAATCCTTGTCCACTCGAATCAACAGAGCGACCCATCCGCAAGTTCATCCACTACAACAACAACCACAACCACCCCAAGCAGTACCGCTTCATCCACCTCCATTCTCGTCAACGATCGCGTACCATCGGTGGATGCCAGTTCCGAGGTAAGCAGCAAAGTTCCTTCATCGGCTCTACCGTCCAGTAGCACCAGCACCAGCAGTTCCGTTGATCAGCAAGTATCCGCTAGTTTCACTATTAGCGCACCTCCCTCCAGCATTTCAACGACCGCCACGGTCAAGTCCCATCGAGGAGACGGCGGCGGGGGAGGGGGAGGTGTTGATACAGGTACGGTCGATGACGATATTGGCAAGATCAGTGTGTCCTACACGATCACCACCCCGAGGCTTAGTAGCAGTATCACGACGACTACCAGCAGTAGCAGTAGCAGCGGCAGTGAAGCCACAACAACGATCGCCAAAGATAAGAGCAAGGAAAGCGTCCCTTCGGTGACAGCGACCTTCAGCGTGCCTAGTGCAATCATCACCTCCACCACTAGCAGCAGCACCACGAACAACAACAATCCTAACAGTAGTAACAATAATATTTACAAGAAGACTGATTCGGACGAGTTAACGAAAACGACGACAACGACGACGACGAAGTCAACGATAGCAGAGGGAGATTCATCATCGATTAGTACGACGCCCGCGTCGTCTGCCTCTGTAGCGGCCACCATCCGGACGCCGAGTTCCTTCGGCACCAGCAAACGATCCCTGTTCGATATCGATAATGCCAACTCGCTTACACTAGCGGAGAAACTACGGCAGGAGGCTAACAAATATGCCGAAAGTGATAAGGAGAACTTCGTTTGCTCAAAAGTGCCATCGACCGCCACCGCGACGGCGACAACGAAAAGTGAGTCCACCTCCTCGAATACGACTCCGGCTGCGGCCGTCGAAGGTGCAGTCTCACTGCGGAAGGACACGAGTGCACCTTCGTCGCCACTGCATCAACATCATCATCATCATCAATCTTCGACCATGGCCGAACGGAGGCCTTCGTGGCGGTTGAAAGTGGACGCCGGATCTAAGGTAGGTTGTTTGAGAGCTGCCGAAAATGTGCATGGCTTTAGGTGCGCTCTTATTGTTGAAATTTGTCGCTGCTTCCAGGAAATATAAGACTATGGAAAGGAATTTTATGGGAAAAAACATGTCTAATATGAGTGATTCAATTTAGTTCATACAGCAATATTTCTGGCCTGTTTTTTAACCATCCAAACTAATCGAATTCATTCATTTTTTATTTGAAAAATAGTTCAAACTGGAAGACGCTACCGCGCCGACCAGTACACCTGCCACCAATGCCGCAAGCAGTACCGTCACTGCCCTGGATTCCTCGAATAGTCGACAGCAGCAGCAGCAGCAAAATGAACTTAATAGTATTTCAATGTCCTCGTTGGCCCAACGAAGGCAGAACGGCGACAGTAGCAATCTATTCAGTAAGTACTAACCTTCCTGGCTATTGGATTCGACTCGCCTGAATTGGTAATTTTCATTCCCACCCAACACAGCATCATCTCGTCCAACGTCAGCTCCTGAGCTGAGTTCCTCGGCAGCAGCAGTAGCAGCGGCGGCGGCAGCAGCAGCAGTAAGCAGTCAAAACGATGCCAGCTTACACCTGCGCAACAGACCATTGAAGGCTAGTGGTGAGGAGAACAAGGAGAATGACAAGGAAAACGAGAACCGCAGTAATGCCCAAGCGACGCAGGCGGTTATCCAGAGACGGAGGCGTCCTAAGCGACGCTCCACCGGTGTGGTGCACGTCGATATGGAGGTGTGTAATGTTTGCTTTTGGGGAGAGGTCCTTTTGGCTCATGATCGTTAACTTTCCTTGCAGGATATTGATCCTGAGCGACAAGATTCTCCTGTCGACGGTGAAGAGAAAGAGGTAAGTGGCTTTTTGTTTTCAATCATTTTAATTTTTGTTGAAAGCAATGATTTTGTTGTTTAGGAAACATCTAGGTATTGGTCTTTGAAAATGAAAAGTGTGCTCACGGACCCGCAATAGATAATAGAATCGGGGATCAAATTATCCCCCTGCGTTGACAGTCGATCATACTCCCCCTGCGTTGACAGTCGATCATACACATTTTCAAAAAAACCTATGTACATTGACAGACATTCTTCAGCTTGTTGTTCTGATGACAGTGCTGTACCTAACTTTTAAACCACTCTTTCTCACAGCACAGGACATTCATAACTTTTCGCCCCATCTCATGATTGTCAATACAGGATCGTTTAGCTTCTCAGTGCGCTCAATATTCTCTTTCTACATGAGCATGCTATTGAGCAGCTATTGAAACACAATTGAAAAACTATTAATGTTAAACAACATCTGCGAAATTGTTGCAAGTCGTAGAACTGATTTGAATCCTACCTACCCAAAATTAAGGTCAGTTCACTCGAATTTGAGAATGCGCAAAATACTAATTTATTAACTGCGCATTCTATATCGCGCAACCAATGAAAGAAAATTTATAATTTTTTATTTGATACCTGACTGAATGTCTAATGGCAGCTAAGGAATATTATTAGGGGTCTAAATGCCCCTAATTTAGGCCCATTCATAAATTCAGGAATCGACTTAGTTTTCAATAGCGACCAAAAATATCCATTAGTACCGTCCCAATGATGCGTACATTTATATAAAATTGATAAGTAGCTAATTTTTAGCGATGGGCCCAATCTTAGATCGATAGGCCAACATTAGAGCCATTTCCCCTAGCTATTCAGATTTACTGTCCTGTACGTTTTGTTAAGTCAGTGGAACGGGCCGACGTGCAAACGTCTAGATTGAGCTTCATTTAGAAGCTTCTTTTAGAATCGTCTTAACAAGCTTCTTTTAAAATCTTCTTAAGAAGCTTTTTCTTTAGAAGCTTATTCTAGACGCTCGTCAGTCGCTTCGCTCCTCTGGCTTAAAATTACACGGGCAGGACGTAGCTACGCAGGAAAAGAGTATTTTTCAAGGTTATTAAACCGCATTTAAAAATTAACGTTGCCATTATTTTAAGCCAAATGTCCTTTATGCCAAACGGCTTTATGCCAAACTGGGTAACCTCAATTCTGAGAAGATTAACATAGGCATTGTGAGAAGAACGTCAGGTGAATTTTATGGAGGTAGGTATGAGTAAAATTAAATGTTATTTTGGAGGAGGTTTTTCATAGGGATTTTAAGGAAAAGTCCAGTAGATTTTTAAAGAAGTTTCCAACTAAAATTTTGAGGAGAATTTATTTTCTGAGTGAAATTATTAAAATTTAATTCTGATGAAAAATTCAATGGCACTTTCAAAGGAATCCTGGGCAAAATTTCGATGAATTTTTGACAATAACTCCAAAGGAATTTCGATTTGAATTCCAAGAGAATTGAGATAAAAATTCCAAGGAAATTTGAATCTGAGGTTAGTTTCAAAGGAATTTTTAAAACAATTTCATTTGTTTTGCATCATCCCGAGGGGTGTTTGCTGGAGGAATGCATAGAAGAGTAGTAGCTTTGAGTAAATTACAAGGGAGTTCTGATTGGGGATAATTCGAAGGTCGTTGCCCACTAGGGTGCTTCATTTTGAAACAAGTATATGTAATCCAATAGGCCACCCTCTCTAGTTTGATGCATAACCCCAAAATATGAGACTGTTAAAAAAATGCCAAAGATTGATAAAAGCTTAGAGGTTGCACAAATGCTATGCAGGAGTTTCCGATGGAATTGTAATAAAAAATCCAAGAGAATTGTAATAAGGATTGACAAATTAAAAAAATGTAAATCTGGGCATACTGCCAAAGGAATTCTAAGGAGAATTCAAATTCAGAGGAATGCAAAGGAATTACCTACCAGGAAGATTCCAACGAAACTCTCATGAGAATTTCAATCAATTTCTGGATTTTTTGTGAGAATTTCAATGAATCTCTGGGAGCGTTCTAAGGCAATTTTGGGGAACATTTCAAGTGAATTTTGCAAGAATACTAAGGGATTTCTTAGGAGAGCTTCTATGAAATAGAGGAGAAGTTTGATGAGGATTTCAAGTAACTTCTGAGCAGAATGTCAAGGCTATTCAGCGATGAATTCCCTAATTGTTCTGAAGGGTATACTAGAGGAATTATGAGAAATATTCTAAGGAAAAAAATAAAGAGAATTATGAAGATAAATCTAAACGAGTCCTTGTTAAAATGATAAAGAATTGGAAGCAAAATTTAGAGATGTGACTTTCAACTGTTTTTAAAAGAAAATGCTCAACGCGTTACCTGTTAAGTTTATTTTGGATACATTTTGACTTGATTTCTGAGAAAATTGTGGAATTATTGATAGGTGAAACACCCTAAGAATACCTGTAAATAATGTCAGTCCAATTATAATAGGTAATTCAGTCATACAAAACATTTCAAAATTCCGGTCTAAAAAAGAAATGTTCAAGACTTAGGCAATCACGCTTAACACTACACCACCGGCACCGCTTTGAGTGGGTTTAGAAAAGCTTTAGTCACGTCCATAATGGTAATTGAGTGTTGGCTACGATATGGTGTTACTAAAAATACAAAAAAGCGTTGTATTTATCCATTTAAGATTTTTTGATTTGTGGCCAACTGATACGTGCGCTGGACATGACAAAAATCAATAGGCATCTATTAATAAGGTAGATAAATTTGTATGATTCTGCAGCACAATAACATGTTTTCAAGATTCTGACGAATCAACGCTAGATTGCGGTCGGAAACTTCCAGTGGAAGTTCGTATAGTCGTAATCGCCTAATGCCTAATTTAAAATTAAATCATCAGAGTTATACGTCAATGCATGTAGCATTTATTTGTCTGACTTGTGCTTTATGAAAAGTGCTTTCTTCTCCGCAATCCTGTAAGTTGCTTCCATCTGAACGGGATTCGCATTCTGCTCTTTTTTTTTCTCTACAAAATTGACATATGTGAACCTCGTGCTCCCATTGGGGAAATGGAAGCTTAAACGCTCATTCATCAAAATTTTGCTTTCAATGCCAACGACAAAAGTAACAGAGCTCTGCACTGCTGCTCTTCGCTTGTCGGTCCCGTAGTCGTTTTTGTCAAAACAATGTTTCAATGCAAATGGTAGCTAATTACCTATATTTTCATAATGCTGGATAAACTCAACAACTTTGTGCTGAAAGAATTTGGAACGACGGTAAAATTGTTTGTATCATCACATAAGAAGCATTGGTATGATGCAAACTTAAAACGCGGCTTGCTGATTTTTGTTACGGGACGGAGTTCGTTGTTCAGCATGCATAAAGGGCACCGAAACAAAAGTTGCTATCGAATGCACACACGATCGCATGATTCACACCGGGTTATCCAACTGATGCTGCTGGTATAGAAACAACTGATAAAACTAATGCCTTCCCTTTTACTGAATCACCTCAGCTTAAATTTTACTCGGAAACCGGAAGTCCCCATTTTGAGTTCCATCATTACGTCGGACATCTGATTCCGGGCTTCACTCGTCTGACGTCGTTTCAGGGATAAATCGCACTTTGAAGCATCGTTCATTACTTTTGAATATGGAAAGCTATCGTTAAGTCCAAGTGAATGTTCAATTAAGGGGGTATTCCCGATCTTTTTTTTTCAAAAAATCAAACTTTTTTTTTCACGTTTTTTTGTACTTTAGACTATATACTTTCATCCCCCCAAGCCGTTTTCCGATCAGCGAATTCGGTGTCCAGGCATAGCTGACTAATGGTAAGAACCCCCAAAATGGTTTTAACTAAAGTCAAAACTTTAAACGCGTTTTTCTCGAAACCACATTTTTTTTATCGGGCGAAGATTTTTCTCAGAAACTATAAGAGATATTGACTTAAATCTTTGCGCATTTTGTTCCTTATTAAATTCTTTGGAGCTTCTCCCACTTTCAGCCAAAAATATTAACATTTAACATTGTTTAAAGCACCTTAAAGCTGCAAAAAAGCGGGCTAAAAATCGCCTGTTTTTTCATATGGCCGCCATTTTGTTAATTTGCAAGATTTTTTGCTGCCAACGGGAGAAGCTCCAGAGAATCTTATGCAGATTATTAATTCATCACGAAATCTGTTTCAGATGAAGCCGTTCCAGAGAAAAGTCTTCGCCCGTCCAGGCGTTTGCGGCGAACAGGGGTCTGTTTGCCACCATTTTGCGACGTCAATAATGTCTTTTTTTATGTCGAAAAAATTTATTTGAAACTTTAATGTTCAATACACAAGAATCCCAAAGAGTTAGGCGCATTACTATTCATTTTCCTTGAAAAAAAAAATAATTGAAAAACAGGCCGAAAAAAGGCAAAATATTGGGAATACCCCCTTAATCCTTCTTAAAACATTAATAATTGCTATTATTCTCCCGAATAATCTTCAAAATTTCCGCTCCGTTGAGCCACACTCTGTGTTTGCACTGAAGGTGCACCCGAGTGTGCACCCGAGTGTGCACCCTAGTGAATCTTCCAGTGCGTGGCTCAACGGTGCGATATTTCTAAGAGGAGAAGATTAGCATTAATCTATCTATTTTAAGATGGATTAACTGAACATATAATTGGACTTAACGTTAGTTTTCTATATTAAAAAGTAATGAATGATGCTCCAAAGAGCGATCAATCCCTGACTGACAATTAAACAATCGGAAAGCAATAGTCGAGCCCATTTCGTAGATATATACATTGCATGTTTAAACTTGCTTTTTAGATCCCAAAGTAAAGAACCCTAAGCCTAGTCCAACCAAAGTGGTTTTGATCTCACCGTTTTTTTATATTTTAAAGTAAAGCAAAAATTTGGTCCAACCTTTGCAAAATCATAAATTAGAAGCAGCTCCTGACCGATTTGAAGGTGTCTCATCAAATCGGTCAAAAACTGATGAAATAGGAGCAATATTACATTTTTAAGAGAAACAGCTTGGACTTCAAT